ACTGGAGCCCTAGACCCCATATTTCTGCGGCAATCTTCAAGCCTGATCGATTCGTGATGGTCCTGGGGCAGGAGACTTCGCAAAAACGCCCGCATTGGAAACATTGCAACGCTGGAGGCGGCGGCGGCGGCGGCGGCGGCAGCGGTGGCGGCGGCGACGACGACGACGACGACGACGACAACGACGACGACGACGACGGCGGCGGCGACGACGACGACAACGACGACGACCACGACGACGGCGGCGGCGGCAGCGGCGGTGGCGGAGGCGGCGGCGGCATTGGAGGCCTGGAAATGGGCACCAACACCAACACAGGGGGTTGCCTCCACAGGGGGAAAGTGATCCTAGATTTCGAAATGGGTAGTAATATTTCGGCCACTTCGGAAGCTAGAGTATGACCACCCTCACCGAGATCAGGATATTTTTCTTCCCTCGGTGGAGGCACGCCGCAGATGTTGGTGTTGGTGTCAACCCCTAGGGTCCGCCATGCTCCCTTTCAACACGACGCGAGACCTCAAGGGCTGGCTCCTGCCTCACGAGCGGCGAACATATGCTGCAGCGGCTACGATTAGGTCGGGCGTGTCCCCCTACAGGCGGATTTAGCACGAAAAATGAACAAGCACCCCAAACATGCCCCAAAAAATGCAAAACGAATGCTAAACAAAAATCGCCCCCTGACTATTTTTTACTGTTTTTGTAGATCCCTCCTGTAGAGGGACAGGCCCGAAGTCAGGCTACGACGACGACGACGACGACGACGACGACGACGACGACGACGACGACGACGACGACGACGACGACGACGACGGCGGGCGGCGGCGGCAGGCCCCCAGCGGCCGAGCGTCTCTGGGGCGCGGGGGCACGCCGCCGCCGGGAGGGGCCCGGGCCAGGGCGCGCCCGCGGCCTGGGGCGGCGCGAAGGGCGCCCCCGGGGCGCGGCGGCGGAGCGGCGGCCCGGGGTCAACTGAGCTCAGAGCCAAGTCGGGCCTGTCCCTCTGCAGTCGGGCCCCTTGGGGGACCGCTTCTGGTGGGGCCTCTTCGTCTGCGATTTCTCCGTCGCGGCGCGAGGATCTCGGGGCCCCGCCGCCCTCCCGCCGGCCGCGCGTGCGCGCGCCAGCCGGGCGTGGGCTGCATGGGTTTCGTGCGCCTGCTGTGCCGCGGCCCGCGCGCCGCCGCCCCGCCCCCGCGGTTTTTTTTCTTTGTCGGCGGCGGCGGCGGCCACGGCCCCTCCTCGAGGTTCCTTTAAGACGTGCCTGTCCCTCTACAGGGGGCACATTCAAAAATAGTCCAAAATCGTCCGGGGGCGATGTTTGGAAGAGATGTTTTGGGGTATGTTTTGTATTTCCCAACCCTCCTTGGTTGGGTATTCGTTTTGAATAAAGCACTGCGGTCTCTAGTCCTCCTCTGTCTCCTCCTCCTTCTCCTCTTCCTCCCGCCTCCCTCCTCCCGACTACCGTCTCCCTCTCCACTTGCTTTGTGCAAACCTCGCCATCCCTGTGGGGCTGCGATCTGCGACAATGTCGCCACTTTCGAAGGCTGCTGGCGGGTCCTGCAGACTGAGGCACCGCGGGGATCTGAGCGGAACCTCGCCGTCCCTGAGAGGCTGCGTTCTGCGACACTGACGCCACTTTCGAGGGCTGCTGGTAGGTCCTGCAGAATGAAGCACCGCGCGGATCTGAGCGGGACCTCCCCGTCCCTGGGGGCTGCGATCTGCGACACTGTCGTCACTTTCGAAAGCCGCTGGTGGGTCCTGCGGAGTTGAGGCACCGCGGGGATCTGAGCGGGACCTCGCCGTCCCTAGGGGGCTGCGATCTGCGACACTGTCGCCACTTTCGAAGGCTGCTGGTGGGTCCAGCGGAGTGAAGCACTGCGGGGATCTGAGCAGGACCTCGCCGTCCCTGAGGGGCTGCGATCTGCGACACTGTCGCCACTTTCGAAGGCTGCTGGTGGGTCCTGCGGAGTGAGGCACCGCGGGGATCTGAGCGGGACCTCGCCGTCCCTGAGGGGCTGCGATCTGCGACACTGTCGCCACTTTCGAGGGCTGCTAGTGGGTCCTGCGGAGCGAGGCACCGCGGGGATCTGAGCGGGACCTCGCCGTCCCTGGGGGGCTGTGATCTGCGACACTGTCGCCACTTTCGAGGGCTGCTGGTGGGTCCTGCGGAGTGAGGCACGGCGGGGATCTGAGCGGGACCTGGCCATCCCTGGGGGGCTGCGATCTGCAACACTGTCGCCACTTTCGAGGGCTGCTGGTGGGTCCTGCGGAGTGAAGCACCGCGGGGATCTGAGCGGGACCTCGCCGTCCCTGGGGGGCTGCGATCTGCGACACTGTCGCCACTTTCGAGGGCTGCTGGTGGGTCCAGCGGAATGAAGCACCGCGGTGATCTGAGCGGGACCTCGCCGTCCCTGGGGGCTGCGATCTGCGACACTGTCGCCACTTTCGAGGGCGCTGGTGGGTCCTGCGGAGTGAAGCACCGCGGGGATCTGAGCGGGACCTCGCCGTCCCTGGAGGGCTGCGATCTGCGACACTGTCGCCACTTTCGAGGGCTGCTGGTGGGTCCTGCGGAGTGAGGCGCAGCGGGGATCTGAGCAGGACCTCGCCGTCCCTGGGGGGCTGCGATCTGCGACACTGTCGCCACTTTCGAGGGCTGCTGGTGGGTCCTGCGGTGAGGCACCGCGGGGATCTGAGCGGGACCTCGCCGTCCCTGGGGGGCTGCGATCTGCGACATTGTCGCCACTTTCGAGGGCTGCTGGTGGGTCCTGCAGAGTGAGGCACCGCGGGGATCTGAGCGGGACCTCGCCGTCCCTGGGGGGCTGCGATCTGCGACACTGTCGCCACTTCCGAGGGCTGCTGGTGGGTCCTGCGGAGTGAGGCACCACGGGGATCTGAACGGGACCTCGCCGTCCCTGAGGGGCTGCGATCTGCGACACTGTCACCACTTTCGAGGGCTGCTGGTGGGTCCAGCGGAATGAAGCACTGCGCGGATCTGAGCGGGACCTCCCCGTCCCTGGGACGCTGCGATCTGCGACACTGTCGCCACTTCCGAAGGCTGCTGGTGGGTCCTGCGGAGTGAGGCACCGTGGGGATCTGAGCGGGACCTCCCCGTCCCTGGGGGGCTGTGATCTGCGACACTGTCGCCACTTTCGAAGGCTGCTGGTGGGCTCTGCGGAGTGAGGCGCCGCGGGGATCTGAGCGGGACCTCGCCGTCCCTGGGGGGCTGCGAGCTGCGACACTGTCGCCACTTTCGAGGGCTGCTGGTGGGTCCTGCGGAGTTAGGCACCGCGGGGATCCGAGCGGGACCTCGCCGTCCCTTGGGGGGGGCTGCGATCTGCGACACTGTCGTCACTTTCGAAGGCTGCTGGTGGGGCACCGCGGGGATCTGAGCGGGACCTCGCCGTCCCTGGGGGGCCGCGATCTGCGACACTGTCGCCACTTTCGAGGGCTGCTGGTGGGTCCTGCGGAGTGAGGCGCCGCGGGGATCTGAGCGGGACCTCGCCGTCACTGGGGGGCTGCGATCTGCGACACTGTCGCCACTTTCGAGGGCTGCTGGCGTGTCCTGCGGAGTGAGGAGGCACCGCGCGGATCTGACCGGGACCTCCCCGTCCCTGGGGGGCTGCAATCTGCGAAACTGTCGCCACTTTCGAGGGCTGCTGGTGGGTCCAGCAGAGTGAGGCACCGCGGGGATCTGAGCGGGACCTCGCCGTCCCTTGGGGGGCTGCGATCTGCGACACTGTCGCCACTTTCGAGGGCTGCTGGCGGGTCCTGCAGACTGAGGCACCGCGGGGATCTGAGCGGAACCTCGCCGTCCCTGAGAGGCTGCGATCTGCAAAACTGTCGCCACTTTCGAGGGCTGCCGGTGGGTCCTGCGGAGTGAGGCACCGCGCAGATCTGAGCGGGACCTCCCCGTCCCTGGGGGCTGCGATCTGCGACACTGTCGCCACTTTCGAGGGCTGCTGGTGGGCTCGCCACTTTCGAAGGCTGCAGGTGGGTCCAGCGGAATGAGGCACTGCACAGACCTGAGCTGGGCCTCGCCGTCCTTGGGGAGCCATGTCATGTTGTTGCTGCCCCGCCGACGTTTCAAGCCCCTTGCCCACCGTCTCCTTTTGGACCTTGCGTCTTTTTTAATGACTCAGGGGTTCACTCAGTTACTCATCGTGTTTCCCTCGAATGGGGAACTGCGAACCTTCCGAATGCCGCTCGCAGAAGTATATGCGTCCATGTCACGTCGCCGCCTTCTCGTCAAATCTCCCAAGCTACTCCTGCCCCGCATTGCGCAGGGGTTGGGTACGTCGCCAGGGTAATGTTTGACTATGTTTGAATATTCCTCCTGTAGAGGGACAGGCCCGACTTAAGGATAGCGTGCCGCACCGAAGCGAAGGGGGCCAGAAATGGCAGAGCGCCGCGCGGTCCACAAAAGTTCCCGAGCGCATCCTCATCCTATGCCTGCCTGCTCCACCCCTCCTCCTCCTCCTCCTCCTCCTCCTCCTCCTCCTCCTCCTTCTCCTCCTGCTCCTCCTCCTCCTGCTCATCCTCCTCCTCCCCCCTCTCGGAGAGAGGGCCATGCGAACACCGGCGGCTCTCCCACCCAAGACAGATCCGCTCAGAATCGGTCCCCGCAGCGCTCCCGGGGGCCCATCCTGACCCGTTCTTCGAGGCAGAAGCAGCCGTGCCGACGCGAGAAGCCTCCAGAGGGCCCCCAGACATACGAAAGACGCCAGGGAGGGTCGGCCTTGTCTCCTCTGGCCCTTCTGCGGCTTCAAAATCTATCACCAGGCATGTTGCGGCGTGCGTCCTGGCGGGTCCAGCCGTGGCGACGAGTAGCCCCGCTGGAGGCCCCCGAAGAGCGAAAAAGATAGACTTCGTCCTCTAACCTCGAACCTCAAACCTGCGATCCTCGAAGAGCGACAAAAAACAGACTTCGTCCTCTAACCTCGAACCTCGAACCTTCGGTCCTCGAAGACCTCGCGCGACGGGCTCGCGCGCATGCTGAAGAGAAAGCAGGGTTCCATTTGGCACCGCGCGTCCTCCGTCCGACGGGGCGAGTGGGCCGTGCCGAGCCGCGAGCTCTGTGATGGGAGAGGGCGAGGGACTGACTACCCACCAGACCACCCCAATCCAACCCGAAGGCACGAATTTGACTCGAATTCCGGGTTGGGGGGGTTACGGGATCCGTGTGTTTTTCAGTGTTCCCCGACCCCCCCCCCACTGGAAATGGAGGGCAACTTGAGGCCTTCGGGTTGGGATGGGGGGTGGCTTGGTGGGTGGTGAGGGACGAGGTGCACCTGCGTGGTGGTCCTCCTCCGCGCCCAGCCGCGGCGACGATGGCGGCCCGCCCCGGAGCAGCAACGGTAAGAACCCCAACGCGAGGGCCGACGGGAGCCTGGGCTCGAGCGCCTCAGCGCGCGCTCGGCTCGCGGGGGCGGTGCCGCGGGACCGTCCAGGGGCCGAGGCGCCTCGGCTCACGGGCCGGCGCCGGAGAGGGGGCAAGTCCCCGAGCCCTGGCTGCCGCGGCGGGCTGGTCCGAGGTCCAGGCCCAGCCGGCCCAGTGGGGCGGCCTGACCTGGATCACCTGGCCCACCACCGGCACCATCGAGGCCAGGTGGTCGTCGGGCGACTGCCGCAGCATCAGCAGCGAGTGCAGCTGCATGCCGAACCAGAAGGACATGAAGTACAGGAGCATGATCAGGAGCTCCTTGCCCGGTGCCCGATTGAGAACTCGGGTCGGATCGGCACGTGCGTCGGATCGGGCCGCATCGGCACGGAGCCGAGATCGACTCGGATCGGCGCCGGGCCCAGATGCACAGAGCAGCGCCGTGCAAGCCTCGGGCCGCACCAGAGCGTCGGAGCATCGGACTCGGAGCGGGGCGGGCTGGCAGAACTCGACATCGAAGCGGAGCGGTCGGAGCGAAATGGGCCCTGCCTTGGGAGCAGGGATCGACCGTCCCAGCATCTCTATAGGCCTACCACAACATGTTCTTAGAATCCAGAAGTGTTCTAAGAACAAAAAACAATGTTCTTAGAACGTAGCCCGATGTGCTAAAACACTACAGTCCCAACCTGAAATGTTCTAAAGAACATGTCGTGCAGACCACAAAAGGTTCTTAGAACATCCTTTGGTAGGCCTATAGGCATGCTGGGACGCTTCGCCACTGCTTGAACCTTGTTGTTCTGAATAGCGACGTCCGCCGGGTCGACGGTTCCCACCGAGGTCATGATCGTGAGGGCCAGCCCGACGAACACCACGGAGGTGACGAAGAGGCTGCAGCCGCAGAAGCAGCACGCGAGGTGGCGGTTGCCGTGCGTGGCGCCGAGGTACCTCGGCGTCAGACGCGGAGGTTGCTTGTGTAGCGGGGGTGGCACATAGCAGGAGCGCCGAACGTATCCATGTCCGAGCCCTCGCGGGCTGGATCCCGGGGGCGCGATCCAGCGGATACGCGAGGTCACGGGTACGTTTCGCGAGGGGCATCCGCTCCAAAACGCCCCGTACACCTGGGAGCGCGGCCGAGAAGCTCGGCCCGCGAGGCCGCGGATACTGTCATGCGTCTGCCCACGAATCTACACAACCAACAACAACACATGTAGAATATAGAACCACCGAACGTAAGCCTTCCGTTGGAATGCGCGCGAGCAGGGTGAAACCTGATCTTGCTGGAAATCCGCACTATTTACACCGGGCTCCACTTCGTCACCTCTGGCCCCCACGTTATATCGAGTGGGACATCAAACATCTACCCACACACACACACACACAAAATGCCACCGCCGCGAGAATACAAAAAACAGCCAGAGCGCTCGACCCCACTCTTCTCCGGAATCCGCCGATGGGACGCACGATGAAATACTAGTACGATGCGTCCTCCTCGGAGGCGTATGTCCAACCCGAACAAGTAGCACAACTATCTTGTAGGATATCGTTTTCCGAGCGGTGTGGTCGGAAAGCGCCCGCCACGGAGCCTGTACTGCAAGATGTCTCGGCGCGCGCGTCGCCCCTGGGGGGGGGGGGCGACGAACACATAGTATCAGTATTAGGTCGGGCATGTCCCCCTACGGGCGGATTTGGGGGCGAAGCAGTCTTCAATACCCCCAACAAAAATACCCGACACGATCAAATCATGCTCAAACAGTTCCCCGGGCCGTGCTTTAAGCCACCTTTGGACGACTCCCCCTGCAGAGGGACACGCCCGACCCGGTGTTGGTAATTATGCCGGGGGGGACGCCGAGCCGACCCCGCGTGGGCCACCAAGCGTGAGAGAGCACTCCTCCTCCTCCTCCTCCTCCTCCTCCTCCTCCTCCTCCTCCTCCTCCTCCTCCTCCTCCTCCTCCTCCTCCAGTCGCCCCCCCCCGCTCTCCACGCCCGCATCCGACGACGGGCACCCCCCGCGGCCCAACATTTCAGGGACCCTGGGGCACACAAAGATGGATACACACAACTCCCAGGAGTCCCCCTGTTTGTCCATCTGTTCTGGACTTTCGTCTTCCCCCCCCCCGCTTCCCATCTTCTCCCGTGTGTTCCTGGGAGCGGCCGATGAGTAGTCTCTGTGTGTATGTGTGATTTCCCCTCCTGGAGCATGCGCGGCCGCACGCTGCTGGGGTGTCGGTCTCTCGCCCCGTGCGGCCAGCGTGCGGCGCAGCCGAGATCCCCCACGCTGGGGGCACGCTTCCCTCTGGCCATTGGAGCGGACATTCAAACCTGCACGTTGGAGAGGAGGACGAGGAGGAGGAGGAGGAGGAGGAGGAGGAGGAGGGAAAGGAAAAAGAGGAGGAGGAGGAGGAGGAGGAGGAGGAGGAGGACGAGGAGGAGGAGGAGGAGGAGGAGGAGGAGGAGGAGGGAAAGGAAAAAGAGGAGGAGGAGGAGGAGGAGGAGGAGGAGGAGCAGGAGCGCCCAGGTTCCGGCACGCTGGTGGGCCCAGGATGGCGGGCTCCACGCTGGCAGCATGCCGAAGCCCTGGGCTCCCGCATGCCAGGCGAGCGGCTCCCCCAGCAGAGAGCCCAAGAGGCCTCCTTCTGATCCACGACCCGGGCACGATGGCAGGACAGGCACAAAGCCACTAGCAGAATCATCAGTATCTTGGTGCTCGTGGTGATCTGCATGGTCCTGGCAATACTGTCGTGAACTGCCGGGCTGATGAATGAAAGCATCGTGGTGGCGTCACCAGTGCTACTAAGAATCGCTGTCTAAAGGGCTTTTCTGCAAGGGTCCTGTATCTATATCTTTAAAAAATGCATGCGTAAATATAGATATACATAGAGTCGAACCATCGCGCGTGCTTCGCGCGCGCTCAGGTTCTAGCGCAGGCCGAGGGGTCGCTGAAAGAGCTTGGACAGCGCAATCGGGCACAAGCGTGTGCCATAGTCGTTTCAACCCTGACCATCATCCTGATTCACATCCTCAACAACTTCGTACTGCTCCTCCTCCTCCTCCTCCTCTTCCTCGTCCTCCTCCTTATCCCACTCGTCGTCATCATCATAAGAATCATTACTATCCTACTCAGCATACTCATGGGGAGCATCCTTAGCCCAGTGCTGCCAGCCATGCCGCCACGTCAAACTCGCGTGTCACCACCATCACCACAACCAACATCATCATCACCCTCATCATCCGCATCATCACCATCATCATCATCAGCCTCATCACCGCCATCACCATCACCACCATCGTCATCACCACTACCACCATCACCATCATCATCACCGCCACCTCCACCACCACCATCGTCACCATCATCAGCATCATCGTCATAATCATCAACATTATTATGCGAATCATCCGATTCATAATCATTATAATGGTCATCATCCTCGGCCTCATCATCACCGTATTCATCATTATCAGCAGCAGCAGCAGCAACACCATCATCATCAGCATCATCATCCTCATCACAGGTATCATCATCTGCATCATCATCATCATCATCAGCCACATCCTCTTCCGAATCATCAGCTTCATTATCACTCCCATCACTATCCTCGTCAGCACCGCTATGCTAATCGTGCACATCGTCACTGTCGTCGTCTTGCCCGTCATCCTCATCATCACCATAATGAGCATCAGCATCGCCATCGTAGTCGCCGACACAATGTTCCCAAAGACACCTCCCGGCAGAACATCTGGCCGACTGTGCGCCTCGGGGAGTCTCTTGGAGGCGTCTGAAGCGTTTGGGGGGGCGGGCTCCTGGAATGTGTTTGAAAGTTCTCTCGGGGCCCTCTTCTGTCGGTTCGTAAGTCCCGTGGGCAGTCTGGAGGGCATCTGGAGGCCTGAGAGGCCAGCCCATCAGGAACAGAGAAAGCGAGCTCTTCAGAACCTGTCGTTCCTAAGTGATGATTGAACGATGTGGACGTCCTGTCGGTCGCTTGGAAGCCTCTTGGGGGCATCTTGGAGGCTTCCTTGGGGGCCTCTTGGTGCTGCCTTGGGGCCTCGAGGGGGCCTCGCAGGCTGCCATGGGGTGCTCTTGGCCCGTCCGACGCCTTCGAAAGCCGTCGGGCCAGGTTCTTGTGAACGGTTTTTTGGTTTTTTATTCGGCGTTTCGACATTGGGCGGAGGGGGGGGGGGAGGGGGGGGGTCTGGCTCCGGACCTCTTCTTAGTGCGACTATTTGGGACGGTGCGTCCTAATGGTGGAAGGACTCCACCTGCTCGAAACAGGCGCCAAAAAAGCCAAGATCTACTCCATGGGGGGGGAGGGGGGGGTGCGAGGGCCCGCGCCGATCGGCAAAAGAATGAATAAGAAACGCTCACCTTCGAGAGCGCTTCGGTCGTCTGGGAGGCTCTTGGCGGCTCTTGGAACCGTCTTGGTGACCTCTGGGGCTCCTCTCTGGACACCCCTTCTGGACAAGCGTGGCGCCCTCCAGCAGCTTCAGAGGCGGCCGCCAGATTGAGGAGAAGAAGTCAGAAACATCATCAGTATTACGATGATCACCGTCGCAATCATCGTCATCGTCACCATTATCATCAGCATCCGCATCCTCAACATCGCTTCAGTCTTCAACCATGAGCATCAATATCGT